CGCGTACTACGTAACAATACAAACCACGACAATCACAAATGGATCATTTCAGTCTTTGTAGCCAAAACCCTAATTCACCGCCGACCACTTCCTCATCCTCTTCCTCTTTCCATGGCCACAAGGACAAAACCGAAAACACGAAACGGTCAACCTCCACGTTATCGACGGATCCACAGAGCGTGGCGGCGCGTGAGAGACGTCACAGAATCAGCGACCGATTCAAGATTCTACAGAGCATGGTCCCTGGTGGTGCGAAGATGGACACAGTTTCTATGCTCGACGAAGCCATTAGATATGTCAAGTTCTTGAAAGCTCAGATCTGGTTTCATCACAATATGCTTCTCCTATTAAACGACCAAGAAACTACGTCGTCTTGTAGTTACTCTCCTTCCGGCGTCGGAGAATTTGATCCAAGACTCTTTGGTTGTGATGAAGATTATGTCCCTGTAACGGAGACGTATTCACAAGGCATGCCACTTCTGTTTACGGACTCGGAGTATTCGATGTTGTTTGGTTCGGCTGTTGATGAGCAAGAAGAAACCATGCATCGACGTGGCTTGTTTTAGTCATTATGATTATTTGTATATCTTTCTTATTGTCGCAATCTTCAGAAACTTTAGTTTAAGGATTACTATGCATTTAAAATTTGAATTATATGTATCTACATGATAATGTATTTTGGAGGATGTAATATATGTAGTAGACTGGTTGTTTTCATTTTAAGATTTGAGTTTCTTTATGATATATTGCTTTTGTATGAAAGTTGAATGTGATGTCACAGATAAAATCTGAAATATTTATTGAGAGAATCAAAGCCATATAACAATATAATTAGATTCTTTAAATGTTTTTGTTTTTTGCGTTTTCTTAAGTTCGTATCAAATTATTTAATCTTAATATAAATATAGCTATCATTCATTTCGTATGAATCGTTAGAAACACACAAAAAAAAGAAAAAAAAATGTGGATAATAAGTTAGTCTAGCTAGTCGTACTTATAAACCTAACTACAACTAGAAACATCGTTTTGACCTTTTGAGTCAAGTATAAAGATTAAAGACTAGTGTGTATTTGACATTAATGGAAATGACGAAGCTCGATTTGTTGAAAATCAAAAGACGACACTTGTCTTAAGGATCGATAACCCTAGTCCCCACTCTCCCACTAAAAAAGAAAAATGGAATAAGCTATTGGGCCACTAAAAGTCAGCCCAAACGTGAAGCGCGTGTGAAATAAAATTATATTTCCCACTCGCACAATAAGCGCGTCGACGCCACTGCCCCGAAATCCGTGGTCTATAGATCACCAGAAACGCGGATTTTCGTAAATTTGGTGGACCTGGGCGCGTGAGGGAGATTTTTTAATTGAGGACATAACAAAGCGGATTTGGGCCTAGAGCCCGCCCATATTTGTTTTATTTGTGGTCAATTTTTTTTATATAAACCTATCAAATAAAAAGCTCATGTACAATAAATTGGTTACAAAAATATAAAAAATATGTATTTTTAATTTATGATATAAAACTTTTAACGAAAAACCATTTGTAGACCATTCTAAAATTTTCGTTATTCGTTTTAGTTAATTTGAAGAATTTTTTTAGTTAAAAGTTCATGTATACAAAAACCATTTGCGTTTTTGTAGATGACATTGTATTTGTATGCAGAGACAATTATAAAAATGACATTTTTTGTGTGCACATTTGCAAAAATATCACTAATTATAGATTTATAAAGCATATATCTTAAAATTCTAAACCTAAAAAATGTTTTGATACCTAAAACCCCCTAAACACTCAAAACTAAACTC